GACGCGGTAGACGGATTGGTTGCGGGCCTGCTGGGCGCGCCGCTTGGGGGTCCAGCTGGCGCGAGCCTCCCGCGCCTTCTGCTGCAGGGGCGTCTTGTTCTTCTGGTAGTACTTGCGCACCAGGGCCACGATCGCGGCGCGGCGACGCCGGCGGCTCTGCCGCTTGAGCTCGGCTAGGCGCTCGGGGTTCCGAGCGCGCCAGTCGGCGTTGCACTTCCGCTCGGCAGCGGCGCGCGTGGCCCGCCGGGCCTAAGGCTTTCCTGGGGCCCAGGGAACTCGCGAGGAACTGCGCCCGGGAGACGGTCTGCCTGTTTGTCCTCGCCGCGCGCGGGCCGCGCCGGGCCTCGGCGAGGGTGCGATTCAGGCCGCGCCGCGCGCTTGTAGGTAGCGGCGGTGCCCTGCTAGGTCTCGCGGCGGCTGCCCTTCGCGCCGATGAGGTCGCAGAAGGCAGGCTGGATGCGTGGGCCGCGCTTGGCCAGGAAGGCCTGCCAGCGGGCAAAAGCGGCAGCGCCGCGGCGGGGGGCGTTGACGCCGGCGGCAGCGCGGGCGGCTCGGCCGCCGTCGTCGGCGCGGGGTGCGCCGGTGCCTCGGCAGCTGCGCCAGCGGCGGTTCGCCTCGGTGCGGCGCGCCTCGCAGGTGGCGGCTGTGGGTTTCCATCCGCACGAAGGGCAATGAGGTGGTGGCTGGCTGTGGGCGGCGGTGCCTCCTGTTCCTCGGGCAGCCTAAGAGGCCGCGGGCGCGGGCGGTGCGGCCACGGCGCGAAGAGGGGGCAGAGAGACCCAGCAGGCTGCGGGCGGCGTCCAAGTCGCCGTCGCCGTCGTCGCTGTCGTCCGTGATCCCGAGGAGCTCCTTGGCAGCCTCGAGGTCGGGGTCGGTGGTGCCGCGGCCGGCGCCAGTGAATTTGGCGGGGTAAGGCAGCACTCCTTCTCCTTCTCCTTGGTGAGGGGGGCCGCCGCCTTGGGGCGCAGCCACTGGTAGTGGCGGCTCTCGAGGACGAGCCACACCGTCTGCCTGTGCTTGCTCCCGGCGGGGGGCGTCGGCGGGAGGAGGTCCAGTGGCAATTGGGCGACTTGGCCCAGATGGCAAACTCCGTGGAGCTGCCCACGGCGGTGGCGCGCACGGTCATGGACGTGGCGGCCTGCCCGGCTGTGGAGAGCTTCTCGATGATGTTGGCAATCTGGGGCATGTCGTATAGTGCTTGGGGCGTTTCCGGAGCTCGGAGGCCATAATCAGGCGCAGGGAGGCCTGCATGTGCCCGCCGGGGTGTCGTCTTTCTTCAGCGCTTTCGGGTGGCGGCTCACCGCGTGGATACCACGCGAACCGGAGAGGTAGAAGCACCCCCCCGCTCCGCCGTAGTGCAAGAGGTCGAAATGCTCAGCGAATGGCTTGGGCGGTGTGGTCTTGGCTTTCTTGTCCTTCGGGGCGCCAGCGAGCGGGGGGCCCTTGCGGCCCGTGCCGGCTGCAGGAGTGCTGGCTGGAGGCGTGCCGGCTGGCTCGGCAGCAGTGGCCGCCTCGGCCGTGTCCATGGCGTGGTCGCCGTCCTCTGTTTCCGGGGTCGGTGCAGCAGGGGCGTGCTTGCTGGCAGGGGCGCCCCATGAAATCTTTGGTTTGGACGCCTCGTCGTATAGCGGTCCGCGAAGCCCGTTCGGTCGATCAAGCCCGGGAGGTCCCCCTGCGTCGCATCCATCGGGATATTGCTGATCACGACGTGGTGATAGCTGGAACGCCCGGGGTGGCGGGCCCGGCGCTCTCCGATGGCGCCGGCGCGTTGCCCGCGAGCTCACCCCGCTGCAGCTCCAGCCCCACAGCGCCTGCCCTCCACCCGGCGATCCTTTGCTGCGCCGCACGGGCTCGACCGCAGCTCGACCGGCTGCTGCTGCTCCATGCAGCAGCCGGGCCTGCTGCTCCTCGGGCGCCCCGGCGGCCCCGAGCTCGCCCACCGAGGCCCCCGCCCGCCGCAGGCCGCGCGCCCCGCGCGCCGCCTCGCCCGGGCCGGCCGCTGCCAGGACCGGTCGCCCGGCGGCCCCGTGGGCCGCTGCTCCTGCCCGGCGGCGGGGCGCAGCGGCACGCCCGGGGGGCCGCCCGGCCCAGGCAGCGCGGCGCCCGTCGGCCCAGCCTCGGACGGGGTCCCGCGCGGCGCCGTCGGGGGCGCGGGCGCCGCGGGGGCTGCCGGTGCGATGCCGCGCCGCGGGTGGTCAATGAGCTCGTCGTCGGTCTCCCAGCACTCCGCGTCGAACTCCTGCACGGCGAGCTGCGAGGGCACGCCGGGCCCGGCAGCGTCTGCCGAGGACGCGGCCATGATTGCGGACGCTGCGCCCCGACCGTGTCCCCTGCGTGTGTTCCCGACGGGCCGCAGAAGCCGCTGTCGTTGCAAGTGGCAACCGGCCCCAGGTCAAGTCGATTCCTTGAGCCAAACTGACTACGGAGGCATGCTTCAAGGTCTTCAAACGGTTGTCTTCCAACGAGGCAGTTCTCTCAATGGGAATGAGCCGTTGCATTGGGGCCTATGAAGAGGGAGCTTGGAGGGAGGGTTAATTCCAACATCGTTGATGACTTTACTCTGGTCCTCCTCCTCCTCCTCCTGCTCCTCCTCCTCCTGCTCCTCCTTCTCCTCCTCCTCCTCCTCCTCCTCCTCCTCCTCAAAAGGTTCGAAACTTTTGAGCGCCTGATGGTTGTTTCCTCTCTGGGCCTTCGAGAATCTTCTGGGAACTTCGGGGGACCCTCGGAAATCGCCTGGGGACCTCGGGGGGAGGCAAGGAGGCAGAGGGAGGAAAGAAAGAGGAGGGGGGGAGAAGTGGACGAAGGAGATACAGAGGGGGAAGATGAGTAGGGGCATGAGGATGATAATCATGAGAGGAAGTGGAACAGGAGAAGGAGGCGGGGTATATGACACAACGACTAAGAGGACAGGCGGTCAGCGTCCTCCTCCTCGTCCTCCTCCTCGTTCTCCCGCATCTTCTTCTCATTATCCCGCCTCCTCGTGGCTTGTCCCTCCTTCCATCCTTGTCCTCCTCCTCCTCCTCCTCCTCCTCCTCCTCCTCCTCATCATCATCCCTCCCTCACTCCCCCTGGACTCACCCCCCTCCTTCCCAGCTCCTCCTCTGCAATTTCCTCTTTCCCCCCCCCCATCCCCCTGGGGGGACCCGGTGGTGGGGCCATGCCTCGGGCATCCCGCGGCCGCCTGGGACGACCTGATAAGCTCAAGGACACTCTCGGCGAGGCGCCGACCCCGGGGCCCGAACACTCAAAAGCGTGCACCGCCATTCATGAGGCCTTCGGTGTGCCAGGGGCCGATGGTGCTGGGAGGCGGCCAGGGGGTCTGCACTGCCGAGGCCCCAGGAAATCGGCAAGGAGGCCGAATCCGCTCAAAATCGGTTCCAGGACACCTGCCAGGGCCCATCTGGTGCAGTTTCTCACTCTGGATCAGTTCTTCTGAAGGGGCCCTGGGACACACACCACACACTCACACACACACACACACACACACACACACACACACACACACACACACACACACACACACACACACACACACACACACACACACACACACACACACACACACACACACACACACACACACACACACACACACACACACACACACACACAATACACAAATAACACGATTCTCTATATTTTTCTCATATTATCTGGGTTTTTGTCTTCCCCCCCACTTCCCATATTTTCATATAATTTCCTGGGAGTCGCGATTCATTGTGTCTGTGTTTTTCCCTCAGATTTTCATGGTCCCGTGGCCCGAAAACGGCCCCCCTGGAAACCGAAAACGACAGCAAGTCTCTCCGAACAGAGAACCTCCGCCTTTCCTGCTGGCCGGAACCAGCGCTAGGTCAGCTCAGACCCTGAGCCAGCGTCTGTCTGCTCCTCCTGTAGCAACTCACTGGGGCCTCCCACACCATGCTGTTGGCTCTTTCGAATCGACGCAGATCGATGCACATCGACGCTAGTCGACGCCGAATCGACGCTCACCGACGCTGAATCGGCGCTATCCCATCGATTACCAGACGCTAGCCGACGCAAATGCATCAGAAAGACGGTATCTGCGAGGGCATACAAGGCTCCAAGACTGGGCCGCCCCGAACCTCTCCCTCGTTCTCGTCTTCGACGTCGCGCACGCGCCGGGAACGCCAGGAGGCCGCCCCGGAAACGGACGCCCACCTCACCTCGTGGGCTCCATCCTCCTCGTCCTCCTCCTGTGCAGAGGGGCCCAGGGAGACACAATCAGATAGACACCAATTCCAAGATTTCCAATGTGTCTCCGTATTCTACGGATTTTTGTGTTCCCCTCCGTATCCCACAGCTCCAAATATTTTCACAGCAGAATGCGTTGATTTGTGTCCGTGTCTGTTTGTCTCTCCTGATCATCCTCTGCCTCGTGCTCGTCGTCGTCGTCGTCGGGCACAGACTGGGCGCGAAAACTGAATTGGATCATGCGTCGGATCGGCCCGCATCGGCACGGAGTCGAGATCGAAGCGGATCGACTGCGCCAGGATGCGCAACTCCGCCATGCAAGCCTTGGGCCGCATCGGATCGTCGGAACGTCGGGATCGAGTCGCAGCGGGCTGGCCAGCATCGACATCGAATCCGACCTAACACGCCGGCGAGGGTCGGGAGAGCGCGTGCGGGGGGCCGGTGAAGGGCGCAACGCCATGGGGAGGAGGGAGGGAGGACGGGGGAGGAGGGAGGACGGGGGGCGGAGGTGCACGCGCCGAAGAGCGCCAGGAGAGCGCCTCCTCCTCCTCCTCCTCCTCCTCCTCCTCCTCCTCCCTTTCCAGCCCTCCCTCCTCCTGCCTCTGGCCGACCCCTCCTCCTCCCCCCCTCCTCGTCCTCCCTCCTCCTCCCCCCCTCTCCTCGTCCTCCGCGTCATCCTCCCCCCCCTTGTCTTCCCCCTCCTCCCCCTCCTCCCCTCCTCCTCGTCCCCCCCGTCCTCCTCCCTCCTTCGGGGGGGGGGGGGGGGGGGCGCGCCCGCGGGAGGGCGCCTCGCGGGGACGGCGCGGAGGCCGCGAGGCTCCAGGGGGGCTGTGCGGGGGGGTCTCGGCCTCGGGCGAGCGGGCGGGCAGGGCCCCAGGGCTTCTTCTTCCCTTCCTCGCTGGCAGGGGAAAGGGGCGGAGGAGGAGGAGGAGGAGGAGGAGGAGGAGGAGGAGGATGAGGAGGAGGGGGAGGGCGAAGGAGGAGGAGGGCGAAGGAGGAGGAGGAGGAGGAGGAGGAGGAGGAGGAGGAGGAGGAGGAGAGGAGGAGGAGGAGGAGGAGGAGGAGGAGGAGGGCGAAGGAGGAGGAGGAGGAGGAGGGCGAAGGAGGAGGAGGAGGAGGCGGAGGTTGTCGGGAACGGGACTAAGGCCAATCGGCCCATGATGAACCAAAATCCGACGCCGCAGAAGCCGACTCCTCTCCAAAGGGGTTCTCTGCGTCCGTTGAGGCTTCCCCCCGAGCCTTCACGCAGTGGAGGTCCTCCTCGCCTCTTCGGTTAGGAGGAGGAAGGGAAGGAGGTATGTGGAGGGCGGGAGGGGGGAGGAGGGCGTGTGGGCTAAGCGCGAGGCGTGCTCCTTGTCATGACAGAGAAATGATGGCAAGAAAGAGCCGCCACGGAGCGAGAGTTGCCCGGAGACGCGCACGTGGCAGAGTCCACCAAGCCTGTTCCCAGGTACGCACGCAGCGTGGAGCGAGCGAGCGAGCGGGGGGGCGGCTCCTGGGGAACAATTGAAGAGAAACGCTGCGCCGAGCAGGACCGCACAGCCGTGCCCACTGGCCCATGACAGAAAACCTCACTTGTCAATATTGGAGTCATCAACTCCACTGCTCGCGAAGGCATCCCACCAACCCACCTAGAACATGCTGGCCAAACCCAAATGGCTGACAACGACAATGACGATTAAACAGGTGATGATGATGATAACGACGACGACGACGACGACGACGACGACGACGACGACGACGACGACGACGACGACGACGGTGACGGTGAGGGTGAGGACGACCTCGACGACGCCGACGGTGGTGATGGTGATGAAGCTGGTGGTGATGATAACAACGAGGCAACGACGTCGCTGGGGACGAAGATGTCAGTAGTTCTTGTGGTGATGGTGACGAAATGCCTGCGCGCAAAACATTGAGGAGAGTGACGACATCGACTATGGCGACGATGGGGGCGGCGGTGATAACCGAGACGATCATAATAAAAATAATAATGCTGATGATGATTAAGATGATGATGGTGATGATGATGATGATGATGGTGGTGATGATGGTGGTGATGATGATGATGATGGTGGTGATGATGATGATTGACGATAGCAATGGTGGAGCTGGCGACGATGATGACGACTGTGCTGGTAAGGAAGATGAGAAAGTGCGCGCCCACAGGAATTCAAACACCCTGACATGAGTTGCATTGACAGCAATTGGATTATCGAGCATGGGCTGAAATTGTTGAGCAACCAGCAGTTTTGGAACGAGATTTCGACGTGCGCGAGCGACGGGCGCGCGCGTGGCCCGCGTGGTATTGTCTGACAGAGCGGCTGGGAACGCGATGTATATTAAAACTTCCCGAACTGCGCGCGCAAGGGGCCCGCATGGCCTCCATAGACAGCATTGCTAACAACGGGTGCTCTTGAGATTCCAGCGGGTGACCGCGAGCAGAATTCTGGACAGTTGTTGCTTGAACGTCAAATAACTGCTGACAATTTCTGGCCAGCCATGCCCCTCAAACGTTGAAAACAAACCAACAAGTTGTACAACATTTGGACATGCGCACGCGGCGGCGAGCGCAGGTGTTCCGTGCATGAGTTGCGGGAGATTCTTATCAAACTCACTGCTAACAGCCGAGATGGTGCTCCACATATGGTGGATTTCGGAAACCCTGTACCCAACAACGGTTTCATTTCTTGGGGACGCATGTTGTACTTCCGCCGCCTTCCACCGACTTCCGCCTGCGGACGGAGGCGGCCTCGGTTTACTTCCGCCGACCTTCCGCCGCCCTTCCGCGGCGGAAGAGATGACAATGCTTTCGACCCTCGAAGGCAGAGCCTTTTTGGGGGAACTCCTCATAGTGTGTGTTGCAAGAGATGGCGGGGGGCATTAACTATGAGCGATGGGGCAGAATCGAATGCACAGTGCAGTACGAAGCCGCGCCAGACAAGTTCGGCCTCGGGAGGCCGATGAACTCTATTTCTTGTAAGGAAGGGGAATATGTCGCCACGCGGCGTGGCCTGACCCAATATACGCACGCAACATGGAGCGCGCGAGTGGCGGCCCCAGAGGGGGCAGGCGAGCAGGAACCCCCTGCGCCAGAGCGGACAGCTCGTGCAAGCACACTCAACCAGGAGGATGAGTGACTGGAGCCCTGCACCTCGCAACGTCATTACCAAGCCTTGCAAGAAAAGGGGAAGAGAACGGGGGATAAGGGAGAATGAGTGGTCGGCCAGAGGCAGGAACAGGGAGGAGTGGAGAAGGAAGGTCGAGGACAAACACTACACAAACATACCATGTCGGATATCCGCGCGGATTTCTTAGATCGGCGCTGGACCCACCTGACGGCGCCTCAGACGCCGTCCCTAGTGCGCTCCGCGCGCCAAGCAAGGAGGTCCAACCCCGGCCAACGATATCCGCGCGGACCTCCGAGAAATTGTTTGCGCAATGTTGCTGGTTCGATCTCTCCCTTGCTCCTCCCACCCTGACGACTTGCTCGTTCGTCTCCGACACCGCGTGGATCGTTCGGCGTCACACGATCGCTGCTTCACGATGACGCAGACTGTTCAATTGTTTGCCAGTCCCAGGCCACTGGTGGCACCCAAGCGGTGTTCAATATTGAACGTCCGCGCTGGGGTCGCCGCCGCGCCAACGCGGCGCGAACCTTCCGTACCTCTTTTCCATATCCCTCCTCCCCCCTCCTCTCTCTCTCTCTCTCTCTCTCTCTCCTATCTGTGCCCCTCCCCTTCCCCGCTCTCTTCTCGCGCCCCCTACATCTGCTCCCTCTCCGACCTTCTCTCTCCATCTCTCCTCCCCTTTTCTCAGGCCTCCTCCTGCTGCTCGTGCTCCTCCTCGATCTCTCTCTCGCTCTCCCTCTCTCCCTGTATCCTTCTCTCCTCCTCCACCCCCTCCTCTTCCTCCTCCTCCTCCTCTTCCTCCTCCCTCCTCCTCTCCTCCTCCTCCTCCTACTTCTCCTCCTCCTCCTCCTCACTCCTCACTCCTCCTCCTCCTCCTCCTCCTCCACCTCCTCCTCCACCTCCTCCTCCTCCCGCCTCCTCCTCCTTCTCCTCCTCCTCCTCCTTCTTTTCCTCCTCCTCCTCCTCCTCCTCCTCTTCCTCCTCCTCCTCCTCTTCCTCCATTCCTTTTCCCTGTAATAGCAACTTCTCCCTGTCGCACCCTGGGGCCCGTTTTTAGGGCGGGCCAGGCGTTTCGCCTGAGAAATCCTCATCATTATGATTCTGAAGCTTAAACAAAACATTGGGACCAGCTTCACAGATGGAGGGCGGGTCGTTTTCAAAATGTGGCTCTCGCCTTAGCGCCGCGCACATCCGTTTAACACATTTGCACGGCATTTTACGGATTGAGGATGACCCGCTGTCAAAATGTGGCTCTCGCCTTAGCGCCGCGCACATTCGTTCAAATAATTTGCAAGACTTTCACAGATTGAGGGCGGTTCCTTCTCAAGGTGTGGATCTCGCCTTAGCGCCGCACACATTCCTTCATACACATTGCAAGAGCTTCGCGGATTGAGGGCGGTTCCTTTTCAACATGTGGATCTCGCCCTAGCGCCGCGCACATTCGTTCACACAATTTGCGAGAGTTTCACGGATTCCCACGATCAACACACCAGAAATTGTGTTTTGGAAGGATTCAGGATTTTGCGGGTGCAACAATTACGTTGATTGACGGTGTTGATATCCCAAGAACGGTTCTAGCGCGGTTCAGGATCGTCAAGACGCAACAGACAAGTTGATTCGTGGCGTTGGAATCCCGAGAACCATATTGTGGCATGCTTCCGGGTCTTCAAACAGTTGTCTTCCAACAAGGCAGATCCCTCAATGGAAATGAACCGTTGTAGGGGCCTATGGAGAGGGAGCTTGGAGGGAGGGTGTATTCCAACATCGTTGATGGCTCTTGAATTTACACCGGTCCTCCTCCTCCTCCTCCTCCTCCTCCTCCTCCTCCTCCTCCTCCTCCCTCCTCCTCCTCCTCCTCCTCATCCTCGTCCGCGTCCTCCTCCTCCTCCTCCTCCTCCTCCTCCTCCTCCTCCTCCTCCAACGATGAGTTAGTTGACTATCGATTTCGGCCCCTAGTGTCGTTCTGTTCCCCTCCTCCTCCTCCTCCTCCTCCTCCTCCGATGACGACGCGTCCCGGGCCGCCCGAGGCCACGCCGCCCGAGGCCCCGCCGCCCGACGGGCGGCCTCCGCGCGCCAGCGACCAGCGCCGCGCCCGCGAGGGCGCGCTGCCTCGGCGGCGGCGCCGCCACCGCCGACGCCGCCGCCGCCAACGCCGCCGCCGTCGGATTCCCTGCGGCCGACGGCCGCCGCCAGCGGGCGCCGCCGCTGGTCGGCCGCGGTGGGCCGCCGCCGGCGGCGGCTTCCCTCCGTCGGCGCTGTCGGCAGCTGCGGGCGGCGGCGGCGGCCGCGGCGGCGGCAGCGCCGCTGGGCCGAGGAATCTCGCGCGCGCGGCCCTCGGTCGCCACGGCTGGGTCCCCGGTGAGGTGCCGGTCGGAGCGCGGTGCAGGAGGCAGGGGAGGATCGGGGTTCGGTCGCTGTCGTCGCCGCCGTCGTCGACGCCGTCTTCACCGACGACGGCGGCGCCCTTCGCCGCCGCCGCCCTCCGTCGACGGCGGCGAGGGGCGGCGGCGAAGGGCGGCGGCGAAGACGGCGGCGGCGACGGCCGACTTCGATGGCCGACGACGGCGATGGCGGCGGCGGCGTCGGCGGCACGGCCGGACGGCGGCCTCCGTAGAGGCCCTCCGCGAGCGCGAGCGCCCGCTGCCGCCCCGAGGGCTCGGGCTCCCGCGCCGGCGGGGGCGGCGGGGGGCCTGAGGCGCAGATCGTCGCCGCCGCCGCGCCGTCGGCGGTCGCCGCCGCTGCCGCTGTCGTGGTCGCTGCGCCGTCGGCGGCCGCCGTCGCCACGCCGTCGTCGCGGTCGCGGTCGCTGCCGCCGTCGCCGTGGCCGTGGTCCCCATTGGTCTTTGTCGCCGTGGTCGTCTCGTCGCGTGGCCCGCCAGGGGCGGCGGTCGCGGCCGTCGCCACCGCCGTCGCGGGTCTGGAGGATCGAAGTTCGAGGATCGGGTCCGACACATTGACGCTCGGAGGACGTCCTAGAGGCTCGAAGTCCGAATCGAGGATCGAGGATCAGGCTCGAGGATCGAGGTCGTCGAGGATCGGGTCCAGCAGAAGACCCTCGAAGATCGAGGGTCAAAGGACGTCCTGGGCGCACAGGAGACATCCGACCCCCCCCCCCCGGGGGAGTCTCCCTTCGCACTCCGCGCCTCCTGGAGGGCGACGGCAGCCCACGGTGAGAATGCCAGCGCACCGAACCAAACGCACTGAACCTTCGGCGCGCCAAGGGATCCAATCGGCGGGTTGATGCTACGGGCCACGTGTGCAGACAGTCAGTAAGCAACAGAAAGAATGCGCGCGCCCACGAGCTCCCTCAGGAAGGCCGCACGAGGTCACTTCGTGAGCCCCAGGGGGAGCCCCCCGTCAGCGAGCGTCTTCATCTGCCTTCCTCCCCTCCTCCGTCGGGGGTTCGCTCTCACGGATCCCCCCCCTCGGCACAGGAAGCTCGCCTCAAGCACCAGCACCCGAAAACCCCCTGGGCAGTCAGGAAGAAGGGAGTAACAGCAGCCGGCCAGCAAGCAGCGGGTCGGTCGCTCCTTCACTTCCTCCCCCCTCCTCCCTCCTCCCTCCCTCCCTCCTCCTCCCCCCTCCCTTCCCGCACCCCTCCCTCCCCAGAGGTCCACCCAGGAGGCATATCGGGAGCTCCTCGGAGGCCTTTGGAGCTCCAGGAGCGTCCGGACGCCCAAAGGGGCGAAAACGCAGCAAGCCCAAAACCTCGATTCTCGAATCGCGATTCACACCACGCCTTCCGATAAACGACGACGCCATGAACGACAAAGACTCGACGCCGACTACGATGACGACAGCGACCCTATTACTGAAGCGTCACGACCACTGGTCTCAAGACTAGCGTGCCACAAAGCCTCAGCTCAGAAGTGTTCGTCGAAGCAAACCATTCTGTGGTCATCCTTGGCGGGGGAGGGCCAATCGATAGCATCTTCCCTTTCGTGTGGCCTCTCACCAGGCCAGCATGTGCAACCGTCGCCTCAATCCAAACAGGCTGCAGCCACCCATGGAGGCCGACCAGTTCCATGAACATCGTAATTCAACGTCGCTGCACTTGGTATATGTGCGGTACGAGCGTTCGAAAAGCCACGTGTGAAATTCACTGGCTGGGATACTTGCTCAATTCGGGGCTGTAACAGTCTCGCTGCCTGAAGGTCTCCAGCGACCATGGCCCGCCCCCTACCTTGAATTCACATCCCCAATAATTTTGCCAGAATGTGGGCACGCATCGGAGTCGCATTAGTGGCGTCCAGCACATCCGTATTTCTGATAGCATTGGCCAAAGGACGATCACAATCCCGCAAAACAACGGTAGCACCAGACCCCGACCTGCTTCTAATCTACGATGCTGCTGCAAAATACTCGCTGTGTCTTCAACTTCCTCATCAAATAAGCGATGAACACAGGTAGTTGTTTCCGATCTTCGCTCGTGGCTACGATGCCATTATCCAACAATCGCCAGTTAAAGGGACCATTTGCTCCCTCAGGCTTGTATCTTCCTGTACGACTTCTGCAAGTCGCACAAAGCCGCCAAGCCGCCTAGATTGGGTTGTTGTCGCGGCTTCGTCCATGCAGGCCCAATTGGCATCCAAGCTATCCAGCAAAGTTTGTTGTGTGCGTGAGGTGGTGGCAGAACTTCCATTGGATCCTCAAGCGGCAGCGGCTTTCATGTAGGTGGCACTGGCATGATTCCGAATGTAAAAAGAAAGATGGGGGGTCAGGTCGCCCTGTCATGGCTAGTTTTGGGCGGGCCTAAACTTGCCTGTCTGGAAGGGTTGTGACCCCCTCCACTTTTATTACAACAAGCACCCATGTAGCGACCGATCGCTTATGAATCCAAGACGACCTCCGCCCTTTGCCCGCTGCGCGAGGAGCGCAATCCCACTGCAGTTTTGAACTCGCCCTTCACCTAATCACTGCCAACCGCACTGTCAAAAAGGCCGGTTGCGCTGGCCTGCTCCGCCAAGGAAACTTTCCAAGGAAACCATGTACGCACTCGGCGGAGAAAAGCCCAGCGGCCTCGGGATACAATCGACGAGATGCGGGAAGCCCTTCCAGGAGCGAGCCCACATGCAACTGTGCAAAAAATTGAAATTCGCTTTTGGGCTTGGCCTCCGGATTGCTGATTTCCCCGCGGATGACGGCCAACTCCCCTCGGAGAAACCTGGCTTCTTGAAAACACTGCCTGGTTGCCAAACGTGACATGGGAGCAACGACCCAGGGCTTTCGCCCAGCCGATGTAAGGCCAATCCATTGCAAACGAACTCGAATCTCAAATCACGCAAGAAACCAAATCCCACCAGCCCTTTGGGCGTGAGTGGTTTAGCGAGTCCTCTCTGTTCTCACCCCCCCTTCTTCCCCTTCGGGGAGGGGTTTACCCCTCCCCCTACCCCCTCCCCCTGGGCCTGGAGAGGTCCTTCCGCGGGTCGTCAGGGGGATCATTTTCGACTCCTGGGAGGGCTAAAAAACTACACCCCTCACGAGGATTCTGGCCCCGACGGGGGGGGGGGGCAGAAAAAATGCTCTCCTCTTCTTTGAAGCCAAAATCATTGATTTTACTTTGGTTTTAGCCCCACTTTGGCCTTCTGAGGGGGCAGCGCTCATTAAAGCTCCCCTCTTCCTTCAAGCCAAAATCATTGATTTTACGAAGGTTTTGGGCTCATGTTGCCCTTCTGAAGGGGGCAGCGCTCATTAAAGCTCCCCTCTTCTTTGATCGCTTCCCTCCAAGATGGCCCCAAGAAGCGCCCAGGAGGCACCAAGAGGCCCCAAGATGGCCCCAAGAGGCCCCCAGGAGGCCCCCAAGAGGCCTCCAAGAGGCCTCCGAGATGCCCCCAAGAGGCACCCAAGAGGCCCCAAGAGGCTCCCCCGAGGCACCCAAGACGCTCCTGGAAGCCCCTGGGGCCGCCAAGAGGCCCCCAAGACGCCCCAAACGGCCTCCAAGAGGCTCCCAAGAGGCCCGAAGAGGCTCCCCCAAGGCACCCAAGACGCTCCTAGAAGCCCTGGGGCCGCCAAGAGGCCCCCAAGACGCCCCAAAAGGGACGACGGTGCCCCGAACGCCTCACGCCACGAGGAGCCCGAACGACTCACACCAGGACCCGAACGACTCACACCAGGGCCCGAACGACTCACACCACGAGAGCCCGAACGACTCACACCACGACGAGGGCCCCGAACGACTCACACCAAGAGGAGCCCGAACGAGTCACACCAGGAGGAGGGGCCCGAACGACTCACACCAGGACGAGGGGCCCGAACAACTCACACCACGAGGAGCCCGAACGACTCACACCAGGACGAAGAGCCCGAACGACTCACACCACGAAGGAGGGGCCCGAACGACTCACACCAGGACGAGGCGCCCGAACGACTCACACCACGAGGAGCCCGAACGACTCACACCACGACGAGGGCCCCGAACGACTCACACCACGAGGAGCCCGAACGAGTCACACCAGGAGGAGGGGCCCGAACGACTCACACCAGGACGAGGGGCCCGAACAACTCACACCACGAGAAGCCCGAACGACTCACACCAGGACGAAGAGCCCGAACGACTCACACCACGAAGAGCCCGAACGACTCACACCAGGAAGAAGGGCCCGAACGACTCACACCAGGACGAGAAACCCCAAACGACTCAAACCACGAGGAGCGCTTTCTCTCCCTCCTCCTCCGCCTCGTCCTTCTCCCGCTCCCCCCACAAGGAGGATGTACAAGGAGGCGGGAGGAAGGAGGAACAGGGGAGATATGCGGGGCCAAGCGGACACACGCCTGAAAAACACGACTGTCGGCATGCTTCGCAAGAGTTGCTGTTGTGAGATGGGCTGGTGGGGATACGCGAAGCGTAAAGAATTCAAACACATCATCACGGGATGGCGTAATCAAATATTGCTTGATTCAAAATGGACAACGACGACGCCGACGACGACACCAACGAGAACAACGACGCCGACGTCGCCGACGAAGACAACGTCGACGACAACGACACCAGCGACGACGCCGACGACGCCGACGACGACGGCGACGCCGCCTCGAACGATCGACGACGCCAACCCCGCTGACGACGATGCCAACAACGACGATGCCGCCTCGAACGAAGAACGACGCCGACGACGCTGCCGACGAAGATGAAGATGCCAACGACGACGGCACTGACAACACTGCCTCGAACGATGAAAGACGCCGAATACGACGCTGGCGACGACGACGCCGACAACAACGCCGACGACTCCGACTGAGACGACGCCGACGACTCTGACGAGGACGGCAACGAGCCAACGACGCCGCCTCGAACGACGATGCAGATTACGACGACGACAGCGACGCAGACGACGACAACTACGCCGACGACAGACGCCGACGACTCCGACGAAGACGGCGCCGACGACGCCGCCAACGACGCCGACGACGATGACGACGCCACCGACACCGACAACGACGACGACGACGACGATGTTGACGATGACGACGACGTATACGACGCCGCAGACGATTCCACCGACGACGACAACGGCGACGACGCGGCCTTGACCGAACGACAAGACGGCGTCGACGCAACCGACGACGTCGCCAACGATGCCAACGACGACGCCGACGACGACGCCGAACATGACGCCGACAACGCCGACGAAGACACCGACGACGCTGACGACGACAACGACGCCGCTGACGACGATGACGATGCCATCGACACCGACAACGACGACGACGACGACGATGTTGACGATGACGACGACGTATACGACGCCGCAGACGATTCCACCGACGACGACAACGACGACGACACCGCCTTGAACGAACGACAAGACGACGTCGACGCAACCGACGACGTCGCCAACGACGACGCAGACGACGACGCCGAAAATGACGCCGACAACGCTGACGAAGACACCGACGACGCTGACGACGACGACGCCGCCGCCGACGACGATCTCACCGACAGAAGCGACAACGCCGCCGACGACGCCGCCTCGAACGATGAACGACCTCGAAGACGCCGACGCCGATGACCCACGACTCACGACTCCGACTGAAACGACTACACCGACGACGGTGCCTTCTGTGGCAAATCATGGGAGCCTCACGTGCCATCTTGTTGGCTCTTGTGAATCGGGGCTAATTGAGGCTAATCGACGCCTCGCCATCGCTCGGACGTCCATTCCACGTGCAATCCCACCAGCCCTCTGGGCGTCGGTGGTTTAAGGAGTTTCCTCTTCCACCCCTCCTTCTTCCCCTTCGGGGAGGGGTTTACCCCTCCCCCTACCCCCTCCCCGCTGACCTGGACAGGGGGTTCCGCGGCGCGTTGGAGCGTCCAAAACGGCCTCGGCGAGGAAGCCAAAATCATTGATTTTACTATGGTTTGGGCCCCATTTTGGCCTTCTGAGGGGGGGGCTGAAATTTAGGACCCCCCCTTCTTTGATCGATTTCCTCCACGATGGCCGCAAGAGGCCCCCAGGATGCCCCAAGAGGCCGCAGGATGGCCCCAAGATGGCCCCAAGAGGCCCCCCAAGAGGCCCCCAGGAGGCCCCCAAGAGACCCCCAAGAGGCCCCAAGAGACCCCCCAGAGGCACCCAAGGTGCTCCCAGAGGCCCCAAGATGGCCCCAAGAGGCCCCAAGAGGCCCCCAGGAGGCCCCAAAGAGGATTCCGAACGGCCCACAGAGGCCCCCCCGAGGCACCCAAGACGCCGAAAAGCCCCTCAGGACGACCCTCTACTCGCCTGGGCGTCGTTTCTGGACGGGCTGGTGGGGATACGCGAAGCGTCTAGAATTTTCGGTTTCGCGCGATTTTGTTTCGCATGACGGTTCAGGATGCTCTTCGATCGTCCTCGCCAAGAAAACATGCACACGTCCGAGCGATGCTAATCGACGCCAGTCGACGCTAAATCGACGCTAATCGACAATAACCGGCGCTCATTGGGCGCGATCTCACGGGCTACCATGCGCTGACCGTCGCTGGTGCACTCTTAAAGCGGAATTGCTAGGGTACACGGCTCCGAAGACTCCGACTCGGACGCCAACGACGCCAACGACAACGACAACGACAACGCCAGACGCCGCCGACGACGCCAACAACGCCGACAACGCCGCCGACGACGCCACCTCGAGCGATCGAAGGCGCCGTCGACGTCGACGGCGACGCCAGCGCGCCTGGCGATCGCTCCTGCCGCTGCGCGCGGGCGCCCTCGGCCCCGCCGGCGTCGGCGCCGCCGTTGGCCTCCGGAGGCTCCGTCGTCGGCGTTGCTCTCGCCGCCGCGGCCGGTGCCGCCGTCGGCGGCATCGTCGCCTCGCCTGGGCCGTCGCCTGGGCCGTCGCCTTCTCCGTCGCCGTCGCCGCCGCCTTCGCCGCCGCCGCCGCCTTCGCCGCCGCCTTCGCCGCCGCTGCCGCCGCCGCTGGTCTCGTCAATCGTTCGGGGCGGCGTCTTCGGCGGCGGTGTCGGTGGCGTCGTCGCCGTCGACCTTTCGAGGGCTCGAGGGCATCGCCGTCAGCGTCGTCGTCGCAGATCGAGATTCGAGGATCGACTTCTGTCTTGGCCTTTGGAAACCTTCCGCCGCCATCGGCGTCGGCGTCGTGCTGCGCCACATCTCCGTTCTCCCAACCCTCGTCAACGTCGTCGTGAACCGTCATCCCCGCCCTCGTCGCCCCTGGCTGTCGTCCTCATTGCCCCCAGCCCCCTCCCCTTGGCACGCCAGCAGGGGGCACGGAAAAACTGAGCACGATGCCCAACAGCAACTGTCGTCCAAAACCATCAGCGGCCGCGTTGGGCAAGCCACTGAGTTTCTCAAATGGACAACGTTCGCGGCGACACTGAGTGCGAGTCTGCCAAAATGGGCAAGAACTGCGGTCGGTCCCCTGATCCCGCCCTAGACACGCGCTCACACCGCAGGGTCCTCCAAAAAACCCTGGACGACGACGGGACCAAGCAGCAATAGGCGAGGCCGCACGCAAACAAAACCGTGGGTTTGGAGAGGCGACACTGGCGATGCCAAACAGCGCCATCCAGCTCTAGAAATTCGCTTCTTAGGACGCTCTTCGGCGGCGAGCCCAGGGGGAAGTTAAAAGGGGCGGGCCTTTCTTTTCAGAAGGCTCAAAAGGTCCCCGGCCTTGTGAGAAGTTGTCTAATGCTTTTTTCTAGGAAAACAGAGCACTTCTCAGAAGGCCACAGGGCTACTGAGAAGCTCCGCCGCCTTCAGAAAAGTCATGTTCATGTTCACTTCCCCCCCAGGCTCGCCGCCGAACTCTACCAAGTCTGGACACCACACAGGAGCGAACACACTGGTAATCCCCCCGCCTGCAGCGCGCACTACGATGTGGGTTTCCTGTAGTTCCAACCCTCGCCCCGAACAATGTTTGTACTGAAGGGTTACTGGTTCCTGTTCTGTAAAACTTGGCATGCGGGTGGGTCTGGCGGTTCCGTGGTTTCCGTCGCCGCCCCGTCGCCGCCTCGTCGCCGTCTGGGCCTCGAGGTCTTGCACCGCATAGATTGCGCCAAATAGACTGCATCACACAACCTGCATTGTATTGATTGTCTTCCTCAAAAGAATGCAGACTTCACCCCCCTCTGGACTGATCGCCCCCTGGGAAACTGCAATTCACATACGCCTCTGTCCCATCCGTCATTTCAAATATGACCTCGTGCTATCCCAGGAGATCCCCGCATCGTTCCCCCATAACAGCACTATGCGCGCGCATTCGTTTATCAAACAACAATACCTGTTCAATAATCCGAAGCAAGACAACAAAACGTCCACACGCGCGCGTCGTCGCGCGCGCACGTCGCACCCCATCAGAAGCGGATGGTCGCATAAAGATTTCAATCTCGATGCTCCCGAGCAAACACTTCAAAACCGTTGGTTAAGCAATCTTGCTTTCCCCAAAAAATACGCGCGCTTGTTTAATATCATGTGTATGAATACCATAGGTTGCCCAAATGAAACAACAAGGCCTATCGCGTCCGCGTGCCGGTACTATTCGAACTCATGTTGCGCACCTGCTGGAAATCAGCGCCTGCCAAAGAGTACCATGCGGGCCACGCGCGCGCTGGCCGCGCGCGCATGCCGAAATCCTTCCGAAGTTTTCATACGCGGCACGTGACAATCTTTATCGCCATCGGCATGCCATTGGCGTTGCCACCGTCGTCGTCGCCACCGTCACCATCATTGCTATTATCATCATCGTTTCAGCCATTGCCGACGTCACCATGATACCGCGCTCGCTCGAGTCATCGACCCGCACTGACGTGCCCGTCCACCATTGCGGCCTGTGAGACGCGCTGAGAAGTTCTGATCTGTCAGGGCCACCGCGGCCGCGTCGGCTGCGCCAAACTAGCTGTTCGCTCTGCTTGCGAGCTTGCGCGAGCTAGCGCGGTCGCAGAGATGCCCCAGCCAGCCAGCACCAACCAGTCGTCGCAATCGCCGCCGCATGGGCCCTGCAAGCCAAGTTGCAGCAGCGTGGGCGGGGCGAGTGCGCGAGCAGTGGCGTTGACAACTCCAAGCTCTCGAACATTAGTTGCACCAGATGGACTGCTCCACGTAGAGTGCACAACGTAGATGGCGCCGCGTAGATTGCACCGCGCAGACTGCACATCATGGGTTGAACAACATGAGCACCCCTAGGCGGCATGAGGACCACGCCCAGACGCGCATGTCTCAGCGAAAATGGTGGATATGAATGGCCAAGTTGTCTCATATTCACCTCTGACAAAAGTTGCCCAGACAAGTACTGCTCTGGCCAGTGGCAAACGATGTCATCACACGAAGCGCGAATCTTTGATCGTGTCTGAGCCCAGCGGGACCAATCAAATTGCGAGCAGTGCAACTGAAACTCGAGGGCGGCAAAGCGCGGGCGGACTTGAGCCACCGCGGTAGCGGAAGCAATGCTGGAAACCTGGCGGGCGCGGAGGGGCCGAGGGGCATTCGCGTCTACGACTAAACGCACCCGTAGACGGCCTGAGGACCACGCCCAGACGCGCATATCTCAGCGAAAATGTGAGTGGCCACTTTGTCTCAGATTCACCTATGAGAAAAGTTGCCCAGACAAGTACTGTTCTGGCCAGTGGCAAACGATGTCATCACACGAAGCGCGATCCTTTGACCGCTTCTGAGCCCGCGCCCGTATCATGTGCTGGTGGCTCGAGGGCTACGAAGCCTGTCGAGCAGGAGCTGAGGCAACTGTTTGCCCCTGCGGGCCGCGCGCTTCTGCTTCTCCTGCGTCACTTTGCGCGGCTGCTGGAGAATGAGCGCGCCCTTCTCGTGGCGAGCCACCGAAGCGGACGATGCCCAGCAGCCGCGCTTCTGGACCTCCTTCAAGGTCCGTCTTCCGCGTGCTGTGTCGCTGGAGGCCCCTGAGTGGCGAAAAACGTGCGGGCGCGCTCCTAGGGGCGAGTGGCCCAGGCGGTCGGCGGCCTTTTTGATCTCCCGCTCGTACTCCGGCAAAGTGAAGGTGAAGAGCCTCTGGGAGTCGGCGGCCTTGGGCCGGCAAAGGATCCGCAGGGCGTTTGTCAGCCCGGGGCGAGACGCGTCGCCGACCAAGAGGCTGTCGCCCTGACCTCCCGTCTTGGTTACCTCGTACCACTCCGCGGAGGTGCGATGACAATGCCAAACCGCGCGCCGAGCTTCGCGGCTGGCGCGGGCGGCAGGGTCGGACATCTGACCCTGGCGGAGCTCGACCACCTCTGAGGGTCAGGCATGCGCGTCCGTCTGCAGCGACACCGCGGCGGCCATCATCGGCTGGTCGTGCTCGATCAGGTCCACCGCTATGCCGCCGACGATGATGTCGGGCAAGGGCAGGCGCACGCTGCCCGGCGAGCGTTTCGTCCAGCCCTTCAGCGAGGCCAGCGCCTTCGGCAGGCCCACCTTGCCCGTCGCCTTGAGCCGCGAGAATCTGCGGCCGTAGAGCGTGTTGCGGCCCTCCCAGACCCCGAAGCCGTCGACGAACATGTCCACGAAATACTGGGTCAAGGCGTTGTCCAGGCGGCTGAACGGCTGCAAGACGAGCTTCTTCTGGCGTAGACCTCATGCTCGTGCACGGCAGCCGCGTACCTCTCGAGGGTCTCGTTCGAGACCGTCGCCATGATCAGCGAGTCGCGCCGCGGGCTCGAGTCAGCAACCCCTGGCCTCGGAAGAGAGCCCCGGACAAAAAAACTGAGTCGCCAGGCTCGTTCTGACTTGTAGGGTGAGAGATACGCGGGGCAGATGTCGGCAAAGACGATGATGATGAAGGGCGAGGCTCTGGCAGCTCACCCTCGAGAAAGGAGTCCGCAAGCGCGCGGGCGGACGGCGGCCGCGCGGCCAGCGTGGCATGCAACTGCCACTGCTGGAGCTGAGGCAGGCGCGACCTTCGGCCGCTCGTCGCCCCATCGACGCGACGCGAGGTCACTCGGGTTCCGACCCGTCTCGATGTAGCGGTGGCGCCGCGAGATCTGCCCGCCAAGTCGGTGGGCCGCTGCCCGTCTGCACAGCGCCTGTAGACCAGCGCTAGAGCGGCCCTTCTTGAAGGCCCCCACGGTGACATGGCCGTCGCTCAGCGCCGGCAGTTTCGAGCCCAGCAGCTTGACGGATCGGCAGTGCCTCCGCGGCCCCATCAGGGCCGCGCGCGCCTCCTTCAGGATGACGCGCTCGCCCTGCCAGCGCCAGCGCTCGGCCGCCACCCGGCGGCAGCGACGCCGATCAATCCAGCCGTCGGCCAGCGCGGGGGCCCCCGAGTCTAGGGCCGCTGTAGCCCGGGTCGCCTTGTCCGCCGCGGCCCGGCGGCGCGGCCTGGAGCGCGCCCCCGCCTGCCCCCGAAGGGCCTGGTCGAAGGCGGTCAGCGGCCCGGCGGCCAAGCCCGGCGCGTCGCCCCGCACGTGGCCGAGCCCCTCGCACGCCTGGCCGCGCCCTCGATCAGCGGCGCGCCCCGGCACCGCTGGCGCCCCCGCCACCTCCGCGCCTCGCGGATCTCCTCAGGCCCCCCCTTCGCCACGTGCAGGGTGTAGCCGCGAGTCGAGGAGTCTCCGCGGTAGACCTGGTCCGAGTACTTGGCGCCGAGGTCGGCCTCCATCAAGAAGAGAAAAATCATCGCGCAGCCGTCCGCTTCGGCTTCTTCGGCGCCTCATCGACGAAGCGGCACCGGGCGCTCAAGGCGGACGTGGCCTCGGGGCAGAGCCGATGCAGGTTCGCGACGTGCCCGAGTCAATGCCGAGGATGATGTCCGCGCAGATTGCGTCGACGCAGTAGAGCATGTCCAGCCAGGCATGTCCGCCAGACTCGCCGAGCGACATGTCGTAGTCGTCGCTCTCGCCAGTGGTGCACCCAGCCAAGCGTCTGCATCTCAACTCCGCCGTTCGACTCGATGTCAAAAGGTTTATCATCATCATCATCATCAAAACTGTTCTCAATCTTGCCCATCTGCCTGGTAGCGTCAGCCTGGCAGCCCCCGATCATCTGCACGTTGTCAACGCACACGCCAGCCGCGCACTTGCCTGGCCTCAGGGTGGGGGCGGGCCGCATCTCCATCATGACCTGGCCCGGGCCGTCGTCGAGCGTCTTCCCCGCCCGGTCGGCGACAGCCTCGTTGGCGTAGAGCGCCCAGGACCAGTCCATGCACGCCGCCGCCATGCAGGGGTGCAACGTCTCGCCGTCCGCGACCGCGGTCTCCGCCCCCTCGGAGTCGCCCCAGATGGTCGCCCGCCGGAAGCCCATGCTCTCCGACTCCTCCGCGTCGAAGCGGTCCTCGATGCCGAACCAGGAGGCCAGCTCGGGGATCGTGAAGTTGTAGAAGCAGTCCCCGACGTCGCCCTCTAGCCCAGTCGGGCTGGCTGGGGGGCTCGAGCTCAGGCCTCCTGAAGCCTGAGGCCCTCAAGCGGATGTCGGAGAGGCCCAGGTCTGCCATGCAGCGCGATGACCCCAACCGAACAGCAGGTGGCAGTCGGTGTGCCCTGTTCGCCGCTCGGGCGTCAATGATGAGTCTCTGGAGCCCATCCTTTCTCTTGACCACGAAGATGCCTGCGCGCCCCTTCAGCAGCCGGCGCCAGGTCAGCAGGCCCCGCTGGCTCAAGCGCTGACACAGCTGCTTCCGAATGTCTCGCGAGCGCCGAAGGGCGGGGCCCCAATAGGGCGAGAACCCGCCACCCTCGGCTCGTTCCTTCTCAAGCTCCGCTTCGTCCTTCTCGATCAGGCCCCCCGCGCGCCCGAGGTAGCCGGGCGCTGCGGGGGGGGGCCCGCGTCGAACAGGCCGAACGTGAACTCGCCGGTGTAGGATCTTGACCATGTCGAAGTCGAAACTGGCCATGCTCTTGGGCCCCATGCCATAGTGGTCTCTAGATCGAGTCGAGGATCTCCGCGAGGGACGACTCCTCTGCGAGGTCAGTCGGGCACGCCCCATATGCCTCAACCCGCCGCGCCACGTTCTGTAGCATCCAGCGCTGCGCAGCGGCAGGCCGGAGGTGGCCCTCAGGCGGTCGACCGTGCCCCTGATCGCGACGCGAATCCAAGTTGGCGGTGGCAAGCTGGCTCATGGGCCCGAACTGTCAAAAAACTTGCCGATGCCGCGCGGGGTCGCATGGGGTGCCTAGGCCGACGGGGTCGCACGGCAGCGGGAAAGGATCGCCGCGCCGTCGATCGCGTGACCTGATGCCTCCGGCGCCAGAAGCGACAAGCCCACGTGGGGGTCGGCTGCGGGGGGCCCACTGGGCGTCCGGGCTGCCAGCGCCGACGCCCCCGCAGCCGCGAGAGGCGCCATCCCTCCTCGCCGGCGCCGCAACCAGCGCCAGCCGCTCCTCCCTTCGCCTCCTTGGTGCGCCGCTTCGGGTTGGACTCGAACCCGTCGCCCTGCCCCTTGCCGTCGCCCTTGCGCGTCTGCTTCTGCTCCTCCCTGTGCATGCGCTCCTGCTCCCAAATCGTCGCCCTCTCCTTGAGGCGGTCAGTGACCCAAGTGTTGAACCTCGACGTTGACGCCCGTCCAACTGCATTGACGGGAGCTGAGTTCACGATGTCCAGGCCGTTGTAGTCGGGATGGCGCGGGTTGCGCTCGACGGCGATCTCCGTCTGCGTCATCCAGCGCACCAGGAGCTCGGCGGAGGCCAATATCGACAAGTCGGCCTGGTCCCACGAGTGCATCGAGCGAAGTACCTCACACCGTTTCCGATGCACGTGGTTCACCGCCGTGCCGAGCCCTCGCCGACGCCGCTGAGGCGTTCCCACTCGGCCTGGTCGGACGCCATGTTCCCCGGTCCCGAGGCAACGCTGTCCAGGAACTCCTTCGCGCTCCTGGCGCCTGCCAAGGGGGAGTTGGGCTGCTCCACGTCGCGCATCATCGCGAGTGCCTCCGAAAGCCGAAGACACCTATGGCCCGCCTCGTCCTGGTGGCCCCCCAGGGTCCGCAGGTCGCCGAAGTCCGCGCGTGTCTCGCACTTGAAGTCAAGCCCATGCCGCAGTTGTCGTCGCCCATGATCGCCGCGTCGATGACCTCCCCGAAGCGATTGGACCGCGGCTCGGCCACGACCCAGATCATCCGTTCGATGGCCCCCACCTGGCCGACGCCCAAGAGCTGGGCCTTCAGCTTCGCTCGACGGCGGAAAGCTAACAGGGCCGCACCTCCGATCGGGTCGTGGGCGTAGACCTGGCTCGCCGCATGGGCTGGGAAGGGCGCTCGACGTTCGAGCACCTCGTGGCGTGTGTTCAGCAGCTTGACCCGAACCAGATCGTGATCTGGGGTGAGGCAGATCCAGATGTCCTCGCTCACTCGGAAGAGCAACACGCGATGGTGCCAGTCGAAGCCGTGCGGGTCATTCTCATAACGCCCGAGGATCTGGGGATCCGCGATGTCCACGATGTGCACATCAACCATGGCGTCGGATGGGGGTACGCGGGCCGACGCCGGCCGTCACCGCCGTCAGAGGCGTCTCGGTGCGATCTGCCGCCGTGCCAGGGGAGCCTCCTCCAGCCGCGCGCTCGCGCGAGCCGCACCGGCAGCGCCTCAAACCCCCGCGAGGAAACCCAGGGCGCCCGCCGTCGGCGTCGCGAGGCCGAGCGCCAGCAACCCGGCGAGCAGCAGGCACCGCAGCGCCCAGACCTCCGCCTGGAGGTCGATGCTACGCCGCAGCTCTTCGTCGCAGAAACAGTGGCAGGCCTCCTCCGCGCCGCAGCCAAAAAAGGAGGACGGCACCAGGAACGGAGCCGCGGGGGCCTGAGTCCAGCCCCAGGACCAGCAAGCGCCCAGAGTCGCGCTCCAGGCGGTCACCAGCGTCGCCCACAGCGAGGGCGGCCCGCCTTCCATGCAGGCCGGCCGAGCCAGGGGGCCTCTCGGACTTGAGCCACCGCGGTGGCGGAAGCAAGGCTGAAAACCTGGCGGGCGTGGAGGGGCCGAGGGGTATTCACGTCTACGACTAAGCATTGTACGATGTATACTGCACTACGTAGATTGTGCAGTACACAGATTGCACAACATAGAATCACAACATATTGCAAAACACAGACTGCAAAACATACCTTGCACAACATTGGTTGCTCCACACAGCTTGCACACCATAGATTACACAGCATATGTTGCTAGAAACACACTGTATGCGGCTCACGCTAGTTAACACCTTGTATTTCCACCTCCCACTCCTCTTCCATCTCCACCTCATTGTCATCTTCCCCTCGCGCCCACGGCAAGTCCTTCAACGGCGGCAGCCGCTGCTGCGGCCGACGCGGCTGCCGGCGCCGCGGGCGCTTGCGGGGGGCGGGGGCATGAGCGAGGTCGAGGGCAGCCATGGAGAAGGATGGAGGAGGGCGGGGGGCGGCGAAGAGAACTGCCATGGGGAAGGAGGATGGGAAGGAGGAAGGGTGCAAACGTGGAGGAGGATGGGACCGAGATGGCCAAGAAACAAAAAAGGCCATGGCGGGGATGGGTGCGTAGCAGTGCAAAAACAAGCTCAATGTATACAACAACTCAAGTACAACAAATCTGCGGCCTATGGTCCTCACGGCTGCCGCTCTGGGCGCCACACCCTTCGTGAATCTCCTCGAACCTCTCCCGACTTGCTCGCGAAGCCGGGAGTTCCATGAATAAATGCGCAGAATACAACCCACAACACAACAAATGAGTATCCGCAACAAGACAAATAAGTATCCACAAATGCCGAAACAGGAAAAAACGAAATGCAGCAAAACTGTAGCACAGAACAGACTGCAGTGCACACCAGAGCAAAGCACACACGAACTCATCAACCCACAACTGGGGCCCTCGGCGCCCCCACATCCACCCTTTGGTGCCGCCAAGATGCGCAACATCCCTTCCGAAACGGTCAAAGAGAAGCTCCAACTCGCCAGAGAGACCTCCAGAACACCGAAGAGGGCCTCAAGATGGTCCAAGAGGCCTGGCCCAGAGAGGGCCCACAAGACGGCGACCAGATGCCCATATCAGCCAGCATTGACTCCAAATAGATAAGAGGACAGTGGAGGACGAGAGGAGGATGGGAGGAGGACAAAGGAGGACGGCAAGAGGACAGGAGGAGAACGGGAAGAGCAAAATCAAGCAAGCGCAAGCGAGCAATAACGAGCAAGCAAGAGACAGCGGTCAAGTGCAAGCAAGCAAGGGCCAGCAAGGGCAAGCAAGCGAGAGCGAGCACGCAAGAGCAAGCAGGCAAGTGAAAGTGAGCGTGTGATGCTGATGAGGAGGAATACATAGAAATCATCGGAATCCGTAGGGATCCATAGGACTCGCCATTGGAATAGCTGGTGGGTGCCATTGGAAATAAGGAGGGGTGCCTTCGGCAAAAGGGGACATAAGGGGGGGGGGGACGGGGTGCCATTGGAAATAAGGGGCGGTGCCATTGGAAGAAGGGGGGGATAGGTATAGGCCTAGGCATAGGCGTAGGCATAGGAGCTAGGGGGGAGGCGCACGCATAGGCATAGGCATAGCCATAGGAATCGGGGGTGGGCATAGGAATTAGGGGGGTGGGGGGGGCAACAGACCAATTAGTGGGGCGGCCCCCAGGAAACCGCGCAACAGACAGGGAGGACGAGGGAAAAGCCCAGGAACAACTATACACGCAGGCGGCACGACGGGGCGCGGCAGACCACGCGCGCGAGCTCGGATCCCGCGCATCTGCTCTTTTGTGGGGTCGGCAGACTGGCGCAGGCCTCGCGACTAGCTGTGGTGCAGAGCGAGGTGCAGCGCACACCAAAGCAAGCAAAAAAGGGCAGAGCAAAGGGACATGGAATGCGCAACCAGCTTCAGGGCAACAAGCAGCTGCAATGCAAACCAGCGCACAGTGCCACGAACAACTGGAGAGCAGCAGCGACTGCGATGCAAAAGACAGCACTGCGACAAGTGCAGCGCACCAGGAAAACGGTAGCGTCAGAAAATACACTGCGGCAGACAACTGCAATGCTGCGTTGCGCAACAGCATGCGCTGAACAAGAGAATCCAATGATCATGAAAACGGCAGTGCAACAGAAACTGCTGTACTCATCGTGGTTGGCGTTTTGGTGACCACATCCTCCCCGGATATCCTCAGACCCCCGCCGAACACATGCACACACCGAAGTCAAAACAATCATCAATGCAAACAGCTGCGCTCATGGCCGTCATCTCCGTTGGCGCTTTGGGCACCACACCCTTCCTGAATTGTCTCAAACCTCTCCCAAAAACGCAGGCTCCAACAAAGATGCGCCGAGCAACCGACACGCAGTACAAGCGAAAGTGCAAATCACAAACAACTGCAATGCACAATCACAACACGTGTTTCTGGTCATCGTGGTCGCCGCTTAAAGCCCTCCCTGAATCTCCCCAAGCCTCTCTCGGGACAAATGCCCCGAAGTTGAAGCAATACCCTGAAGTAGTCAAACGCCTGCAGCTTTGGAAACCACATCGTCTCTGAATATCCTCAAACATCTCCCGAACTACTAGCGAAGCCCACAATCAGGAGGTCAACCTCGAACTACGAGTCCGAAGTTGGGGCAACACCTTGAAGTTGTCCACAGCCCGAAGTGGAGCTAAAGGCACTCGTGTGTGTGTGTGTGTCTGTGTGTGTGTCTGTGTGTGTGTCTGTGTGTGTGTTGGGCTTGGCGTCCCGCCGTGCGCTACGCGGCCAAGAACCTGATCGCCTCTGTTTCCTGCTCCACCTCCACCTCCTCCTTCTCCTCCTCCTCCTCCTCCTCCTCCTCCTCCCTCCTCCTCCTCCACCTCGTCCCTCCTCCTCCTCCTCCTCCTCCTCCTCCTCCTCCTCCCCCTCCTCCTCCCCCTCCTCCTCCTCCTCCTCCTCCTCCTCTTCCTCCTCCTCTTCTCTCCTCCTCCTCCTCCTCCTCCTCCTATCCTCCCCCTCTCCCTCCCTTTCCCTTCTCCTCCCGCTCCTGCGGCTCCCCATCCCTTTCCTCTCTCCCCGTCCTACTGACGCCCATCATCTTGTTTTTCACAGCAAGCGCCCCTGTTCAGGCTGCTACTCCCTCTTCTCCTCACCCTTGTCCCCCACCTGTCTCGTTGCCGTCCTCAGCTACTCCCTCTCCTCATCCCTCTCCTTCACCGCCGTTCTCGTCCTCGTCCTCGTCGTTGTCTTCGTCGTCGCCTCACAAACACCCTCTCAAAGTCGGTCTCCAAATCCATCACGGGGTCTGAATCCAATATGATCAATTTCCCGCGCCTCTTTCAGCCGTGGCGACGAGAACCTCCGGAAATGCGAAATAAAATCAGAAACTGAGACGTCGTGATAAGCCCTCGTCGTCGTCGTCGTCGTCGTCGTCGTCGTCGTCGCCGCCGCCGCCGTCGGCGGCGTGGTCGCACTCGTCCCCGTCCTCGTCGTCCTCGTGACGTGCTCAGCGTCTGCCGCATATGCGTAAACTTGAGAAGCTCCGCGCGCACTATTGGAAAGGCACTGCGCCCCGTCCCTGGCGCGCAGAGCGCGCCCGAGCGGCGCCGGAGGCGCCGCCCAGGGGGTCCAGCGGAGATCCAAAAAATCCACGCGGACTGTCCAAAATTGATGTTTATATTCCGTGTTTGATTTTTCGAACTTCGTCGTCGCAGTCGATCTCCGTCGTCGTCGTCCGCGTCGCCCTCGCCGCCGGCGAACCTCCTCGAGCAGCGCGAGTGGCGCCGCCACGTTGGGTGGGTGCGGGGCCACCTCGCGCCGCGCGTGCCAGGCGTGGCCAGTCGGAAGCGTGCTGGCCAAACGACGACGCCGAGGGCCGCCTTACATGCATTTCACCAAAGACTTCTCTGCAAGATTCTCACGTGTGCGCGTGTCCGGCTCCGGTGTACTCTGGAACGGCCCCAGACGCCTCTCACTTCGCTCTGAGACGGCCCGGGTGGCCTGTAACACGGCCCGACAAGGGCCCCAAATGGCCTCATACTGGCCCCCGAAGCAGCCAACCAGCTACCCCGAATGCCAAACACAATCCAGGGATGCCCCCCTCGCCAAAATAGCGACGCCAGACAGCCTCCAGGCACCCCATATGCCTCCAAGACGTCCCAACACGCCGCCACAACATGCCCAAGGAACCCCGGGAGCTGAATCTCGTGCATTTTACCCTGGTTGCTGCACGATTTTCGACGGCTCCCAACCGGCCTCGAGCTCGCTCTCACCAGGCGCGACCCACGAACCCGCCGTGAAGCCCCCGAGGCCTGTCCAAGACGGTCCAAAAAGGCTCCCGCTCACCCGCCGTGAAGCCCAGGAGACCTGTCCAACGTGGTCCAGGGAGGCCCGCCCTCACCAAAATGACGACCCGAGACGTCCAGGACAGCCTCCGAGAAGCCCAGGGTACCTCCAAGACGCCCCAGAAAGCTTCCTGCAGCCTTCCCGAAAGCTTCTCAAGACGGCCGAAGAGGGCCCCGAGACAACCCAAGAGGATCCACTGCCCAAGAGGGCCCCGCGAGGATCCCAAGACTACTTCCACGGGGCTCCAAGACACCCCCATGAAACCTCACTCACGCCCAGAGCCCCCCATGACGACCCAGAACAGTTCCATGACGGACGAAAGGGACTTCGACCATGATGGCGATGAAGATGATGATGCTGATGCTGCTGATGCTGATGCTGCTGATGATGGTGATGATGATGACGATGATGACGATGATGACGATGGTGATGATGACGAGGATGCTGATGCTGAGTCTGATGGTGATACCCGCCAGCCCCCATCTCACGTGCTCCAGAAACGTCTTTCAGGAGGACGTGAACTTTCGATGACGATGACGATGACGATGACGATGGCGAGTATGATGATGAGGATTATGATGACTACGGACATCTTGAAGATGATGAACATAACGATGACTACAACCTGATGATGACGATATTGGCGATGCTGAGCATGTACACGAGGATCACGCCTTTCCAGAGCACGTACAATCACGATGCTGATGACGATGACGATGACGATGGCGATGATTATGTTCATGGTGGTGATGACGAGGATGATGTTGATGATCATGATGGTGATGGTGATGATGGTGATGATGAGGGTGATGATGAGGATGAGGATCTTTTTCCGACGGAAACGCATCAGCCTGGCGCGCACTTACCTGGTCGATTGTCTACGGGTGTGCACGCAAGGCGGAATGAAATAAACGATCGCCTCCGCAGCGAATAGAAAGAAGCTGCACTGACGGAGTCTCGCGCAAGAGACACAACCGCCTCGCGCGCACTTATCTGGTCGATTGCCCAAGGATGCGCGCGCAGGGTGCAGCGACCAGCTCTTGAAAAATTATCCTGGCGACGTACCCAACCCTTGCGCAATGCGGGGCCTAAGTACATCAGGATTGCGACAACGGGGGCGATGACGTAACATGAACGCATGTGATTTTGCGAACAGCAATCGGAAGGATCGCAGGCCCCCGATCAAGATATAAGGGCGTCGTAGTGGTTACTAACGCAGCCCCCCCCAAGGATGGCGAGGTCTCGCTCGAGATCATTTTTTTATTCCGGCCGGTAACGCTCGTTACCCGGGGGGGGGGGGGGGGGTCGTGCCCCCCGGGTAACGGTAACGCTTGGGCTGGGCGGGGTATGGCGAAGCAGGGGCGCTCTGCGATCGCCATAGTATGCGCGCGAGCAGCACTCTCTGCCTGAGAGCACCACAGTGGCTTGCGATTCGAGTACAAGCGCAAAGCCCGCCGCGTGGTCCCGGCACCACGCCCGCGCCCGCGCGCGCGACGACGATGATCGACGAGCGACGAGCGACGAGGTCGACGACGACGACGACGACGTTTGCCGCCTGTTTCGGCCTCCGGAGGCCGTTTTCGGGCGCCGTCGACGACGACGACGACGACGACGACGACGACGACGACGACGACGACGACGACGACGATTCGAGTACAAGCGCAAAGCCCGCAAGCACCAGCATCGCGCATGCGAGCGCCGCAATGGCCTGCGAGCGCCCACAGTGCGCCTGCGACCACCACACCACAGTGCGCATGCCTTCGGGCACCAGCATGTTGGAGGGGAAGACCGAGACCCCCCCCGCGTACGAGCGTTACCGTTACGGGGGGGGGGGGGGGGGAGAGGCCCGGGTAACGAGCGTTACCCCCCAGAGGATAAAAAAACAATCTCCTCAGGTCCCCGCGGTGCCTCAATCCGCAGGACCCACCAGCAGCCCTCGAAAGTGGCGACCGTGTCGCAGATCGCAGCCCCCCAGGGACGGCGAAATCTCGCTCAGATCCCCTGCGGTGCCGCAGTCCGCAGGACCCACCAGCAGCCCCCGAAAGTGGCGACCGTGTCGCAGATCGCAGCCCCCCAGAGCTGGCGAGGTCTCGCTCAGATCCCCGCGGTGCCTCAGTCCGCAGGACCCACCGGCAGCCCTCGAAAGTGGCGACCGTGTCGCAGATCGCAGCCCCCCAGGGACGGCGAGGTCTCGCTCAGATCCCCGCGGCGCCTCAGTGCGCAGGACCCACCAGCAGCCCTCGAAAGTGGCGACAGTGTCGCAGATCGCAGCCCCCCAGGGACGGCGAGGTCCCGCTCAGATCCCCGCGGTGCCTCAGTCCGCAGGACCCACCAGCAGCCCTCGAAAGTGGCGACCGCGTCGCAGATCGCAGCCCCCAGGCGGCGAGGTCTCGCTCAGATCCCCGCGGTGCCTCAGTCCGCAGGACCCACCAGCAGCCCTCGAAAGTGGCGACCGTGTCGCAGATCGCAGCCGCCAGGGACGGCGAGGTCTCGCTCAGATCCCCGCGGTGCCTGTCCGCAGGACCCACCAGCACCCTCGAAAGTGGCGACCGTGTCGCAGATCGCAGCCCCCCAGGGACGGCGAAATCTCGCTCAGATACCCGCGGTGCCTCAGTCCGCAGGACTCACCAGCAGCCCCCGAAAGTGGCGACAGTGTCGCAGGTCGCAGCCCCCCAGGGTCGGCGAGGTCTCGCTCAGATCTGCGCGGTGCCTCAGCCCGCAAGACCCACCAACAGCCCTCGAAAGTGGCGACCGTGTCGTAGATCAGAGACGGCGAGGTCTCGCTCAGACCCCCCTCAGTCTGCAGGACCCACCAGCAACCCTCGAAAGTGGCGACCGTGTCGCAGATCGCAGCCCCCCAGGGACGGCGAGGTCTCGCTCAGATCCCCGCGGTGCCTCAGTCCGCAAGACCCACCGGCAGCCCTCGAAAGTGGCGGCGTTGTCGCAGATCGCAGCCCCCCAGGGACGGCGAGGTCCCGCTCAGATCCCCGCGGTGCCTCACTCCGCAGGACCCACCAGCAGCCCTCGAAAGTGGCTACCCTGTCGCAGATCGCAGCCCCCCAAGGACCGCCCAGCAGCCCTCGAAACTGGCGACCGTGTCGCAGATCGCAGCCCCCCACGGATGGCGAGGTCCGCACAAAGCAAGAGGAGACAAGAGGGGACCGGGAAACAGGAGACGGGAGGAGGAGGAGGAGGAGGAGGAGGAGGAGGAGGAGGAGGAGGAGGAGGAGGAGGAGGAGGAAGAAGAGGAGGAGGACTGAAGACCGCTGTGTTCTATTCGAAACGAATACCCAACCAAGGAGGGTTGGCTACGTACCCAACCCCTGCGATGCGGGGCATGAGTACCAACCCCTGCGCAATGCGAGGCATGAGTAGCTTGGGAAACGTTATTATACAGAGGTGATGACGTGACATGTGCGCAGATACTTCTGCGAGCGGCATTCGTGAACCCGCAGCCACCCCAGGATTGCGATGTCTCGGTCAAATATGCCTGCCGCTGAACCCGCCACCAGCCTTCGAAACTGGCGACGGCTTCCAGATCGCAGCCCCCCAAAGACGGCGAGGCCCCGCTCAGATCTGCGCGGTGCCTCAGTCCGCTGGACCCACCAGCAACCCTCGAAAGTGGCGACAGTTTCGCATATCGCAGCTCCCCATGCACGGCGGGGTCCCGCTCAAATCTGCGCGGTGCCTCACTCCGCTGGACCCACCAGCAGCCCTCGAAAGTGGCGACAGTTTCGGAGATCGCAGCCCCAGGCACAGCGAGGTCCCGCTCAGATCTGCGCGGTGCCTCACTCCGCTGCGCCCGCCAGCAGCCCTCGAAAGTGGCGACAGTTTAGCAGATCACAGCCCCCCAGGGACGGCGAGGTCCCGCTCAAATCTGCGCAGTGCCTCACTCCAGTGGACCCGCCAGCAACCTTCGAAACTGGCGACAGATCCGCAGATCGTTATGCTGGCCCCGCAATCAGCCCTCGAAAATGGGGACACTCTCGCAGATCGCAGCCCCCCAGGCACGGCGAGGTGTTGCTCAGATCCGCGCGGTGCCGCACTCCGGTGGACCCACCAGCAGCCCTCGAAAGTGGCGACACCTTCGCAGATCGCAGCCCCCCAGGCGCGGCGAGGTCTTGCTCAGATCTGCGCGGTGCCTCACTCCGCTGGACCCACCAGCAGCCCTCGAAAGTGGCGACTCCCTCGCAGATCGCAGCCCCCCAGGCACGGCGAGGTTTTGCTCAGATCCCCGCGGTGCCTCACGCCGCTGGACCCACAAGCAGCCCTCGAAAGTGGCGACAGTTTAGCAGATCGCAGCCCCCCAGGGACGGCGAGGTCTCGCTCAGATCCCCGCGGCGCCTCAGTGCGCAGGACCCACCAGCAGCCCTCGAAAGTGGCGACAGTGTCGCAGATCGCAGCCCCCCAGGCGCGGCGAGGCTTTGCTCAGATTTGCGCAGTACCTGACTCCGATGGACCCACCAGCAGCCCGCGAA